TGAAGGCCCTATATTCACAATGGCGCGAATATAAAGATGACTTTTGGGGTTCTTCTGATGTACTTGCTATAGCTACACCACCACCTTCGGAGGACTTGAGATACTTGAAATCCTCAGCTGTCAATATTTGGTTGCTAGGGTATGAGTTCCCTGAGACAATAATGGTTTTTGGAGATAAAGAGATACATTTTTTGTGTAGCCAGAAGAAGGCATCTTTGCTCAATGTTGTGAAATCCGCTGCTAAAGAGGCTGTGAATGTGGAGGTTGTCATGCATGTGAAGGGAAAAAGTGAAGATGGGACTGCTCAAATGGAAAATGTGCTCCGGGCTATCTGTATGCAGTCAAAGTCAGATGGTCGTGATTCAGTTATTGGATATATTGCAAGAGAGGCGCCTGAAGGAAAACTCTTGGAGATATGGACCGATAAGATGAGAAATTCAGGCCTTCCTCTTAGTGATATCACAAATGGCCTGGCTAACCTCTTTGCCGTGAAGGACCAGAGTGAGATAATAAACGTGAAGAAAGCTGCATATTTGACTGCTTCTGCAATGAAGAACTATGTTGTTCCAAAGCTTGAAAAAATTATTGATGAGGAGGATAAAGTAACTCATTCCTTATTGATGGATGACACAGAAAAGGCTATTCTGGAACCTACTAAAATCAAGGTGAAGCTGAAAGCTGAGAATGTCGACATATGTTACCCTCCAATCTTCCAGAGTGGTGGGAATTTCGATCTTAGACCTAGTGCTACAAGCAACGATGACCATTTGTACTATGATTCTGCCAGTGTGATCATATGTGCAGTTGGATCACGGTACAACAGCTACTGTTCAAATGTTGCCAGATCTTTTCTTATTGATTCAACTTCGAAGCAGACCAAGGCTTATGAGGTTCTTCTTAAAGCTCATGAGGCAGCAATTGGTGCATTGAAGGCGGGAAACAAGCTTAGTGCTGTGTATCAAGCAGCTCTTGCAGTAGTTGAGAGGGATGCTCCTGAATTGATTAACAACCTAACAAAATCTGCTGGGACTGGGATTGGTCTCGAGTTCCGGGAGTTGGGGCTGATCCTTAATGCGAAGAATGATAAGGTGCTGAGAGAGGGAATGGTTTTCAATGTGTCACTAGGTTTCCAGAATTTGCAAACTGAGACCAGCAAAGAAAAGAGTAGGAATTTTTCACTTTTGTTAGCAGATACAGTTATTGTCACAAACGATGGCCGTGAGGTGGTTACTCAGCTGAGCTCCAAAGCCTTGAAGGATGTAGCCTATTCATTCAATGAAGAGGAGGAAGAGGAGGAGGAGGTTAAAGTGAAAACTGAGTCAGATAGGAAGGAGTCATTGTATTCAAAGGCAACACTTAGATCAAACAACCAAGAAGAGCTCCGGAGGCAGCACCAGGCAGAACTTGCCCGTCAGAAGAATGAAGAAACTGCGCGTCGTCTTGCTGGTGGAGGGGCTTTATCTGGGAACAATAGGAGTGCTGCTAGGGCCTCAACTGACCTTGTTGCCTATAAGAGCATTAATGACCTACCACCTCCTAGGGAGATGATTATTCAGGTTGACCAGAAGAATGAAGCCATTCTTCTACCGATATATGGTACTATGGTTCCTTTCCATGTGGCTACTGTTAAGACTGTGTCGAGCCAGCAGGATACCAACCGCAACTGCTACATCCGTATCATTTTCAATGTTCCTGGTGCCCCTTTTACACCTGTTGATGCAAATGCTTTGAAGAATCAGGGTGCCATTTACCTGAAGGAAGTTTCTTTTCGTTCTAAGGATCCAAGGCACATAAGTGAAGTAGTTCAGCTGATTAAAACTCTAAGACGGAATGTTATGGCCAGGGAGTCTGAGAGAGCCGAAAGGGCAACTTTGGTGACTCAGGAAAAACTTGTACTTGCAGGGAATAAATTCAAGCCAGTTAGGCTGTCTGACTTATGGATTCGCCCCTCTTTTGGTGGTCGTGCAAGAAAGCTTCCGGGTACATTGGAAGCTCATGTCAATGGTTTCCGGTACTCAACCTCAAGACCAGATGAGCGTGTTGACATCATGTTTGGCAACATCAAGCATGCGTTTTTTCAGCCAGCAGAGAAGGAAATGATTACCCTTCTTCACGTTCATCTGCATAACCACATAATGGTAGGAAACAAGAAAACCAAGGATGTACAGTTCTATGTTGAGGTAATGGATGTGGTCCAAACACTTGGAGGTGGAAAGCGGTCTGCCTATGACCCAGATGAGATTGAGGAAGAACAGAGAGAAAGAGATCGAAAGAACAAAATCAACATGGACTTCCAAAATTTTGTGAACCGGGTGAATGATATGTGGAGCCAGCCTCAGTTTAAAGGACTCGACCTGGAGTTTGATCAACCTCTGAGAGAACTTGGGTTCCATGGAGTCCCTTATAAATCATCAGCATTCATTGTGCCAACCTCAAGCTGTTTGGTTGAGCTGATAGAGACCCCATTTCTTGTGATAACCCTTAGTGAAATTGAGATTGTGAACTTGGAGAGAGTTGGGTTTGGGCAGAAGAATTTTGATATGGCAATTATCTTCAAGGACTTCAAGCGTGATGTCATGCGCATAGATTCCATCCCGACCTCTGCACTTGATGGCATCAAGGAGTGGCTTGACACAACTGACATCAAATATTATGAGAGCAAGATGAATCTGAATTGGCGTGAAGTATTGAAGACCATAACTAGTGACCCTCAAAAGTTTATAGATGAAGGTGGCTGGGAATTTTTAAATATAGATGCTTCTGACTCAGAGTCTGGGTATTCAGAGGAATCAGATCAAGGTTATGAACCTTCAGATGCGGAACCTGAGTCAGATTCAGATGACGATGACTCTGATAGTGAATCTCTGGTAGATTCCGAGGAAGAAGAGGAAGAAGATGATGAGGACGACTCAGAGGATGAAAAAGGCAAAACATGGGAGGAGTTGGAGAAGGAGGCAAGCAACGCAGATAGGGAGAAGGGGAATGAATCCGATAGTGAGGACGAGAGGAGGAGAAAGAAGAACTTCGGGAAGTCACGAGCTGGTCCAACTTCTGCAGCTCCTAAGCGAACGAAGTTCAGGTAGTTTTGATGGAAGAGCGTTCCAATTTGGAGCCTTAGATTGCTGAAGCGATTTGTTTTAGAACAATTATCTTAGCATATTTAGAGTAGAATCTATTTAGAATGTTGGTTTTTTGTTCCCTTTTCTTTATTTGTTTTTTCCCTTCAAGGGACGGTGGTTTAGTTTTTCAATGTAAATTATATTGGTAGCCTTAGTGTATGGCAAGTACTTATAAATTGTTTCTTCGCACTCCACTTTGGGTGCTTGGAGCATGATCTTGTCAGCTGGTCCAACATTCTGATTACGCTCATTTAGCTGCATAGCATGTGTTGTCTAGAGGTATATGGTGGGTGTCTGAGCAAACATCTCATCTTATTGCCAATGGCAAATGGTTCCTTTCTGTTCAAGAGTTTTTGTTTAGGTTCTAATTTCAGATGGATTCTTTTTCGCCATTGTCATCTGGGGAGTAAAATGCTCCTTGTGTCATCAGTCAGCTGATGACTGATGAGCGTTAAAGTGAGAATGCTTAATTATAGCATGTTTGGCCAAGCTGGAAAAATCAGCTTATTTTGGTGAAAAATGTATTTTCTCAAAAGTGCTTCTTAAAAAAGTATTTTTGGGAAGAAGTTAATTTTTTTCTGCTTTTCCAAAACTGTTTCCGCGTTTACTTAAAAGCATTTTTTTTTTTTCAAAAGCTTGACCAAACACTTTAACTTTGAAAAAAAATGCAGAGGCTATTAGTCTCGCAACCCTATAAAAATTTAAAGAAAATGAAATACTAACACAAAAGCACGGGTTTGAATGCAACCAATTCTACATTGAAGAAGGGTCTTGTGTTAAATCAAAAAGTTATTATTCAAAAGAATTCAGAGCGCCAACATCAGCTACAAAGTGCGACTATTAACTGTCCCAAGGTAGAAAGATGTTCACGTAAATGGTAAGTGAATGTGTTGGATTGGAGAATGAAAAGCCACAACACTCTTTTCTCAAGAAAGGCTTATTTATTCTCATCAGTTGATCCTACTCTCTGTATTTCGAACTGCTGTCTCTTTGTCAAGGTCAGCAAAAAGTTGTTCTTTTTCTTCTTACTGTCTCACTCTTGTTTTTTTACTCCTTGTTACTGATTATGCCCATTTCATTCGCGTGTTAAACATGATTATTTCATGTGTATGATCCAAATTTGTTTTTTCTATAGAATGTGGAAAATTTTATTTTCGTCATGTTACTGTTTGGTTAACACTGAATGGTTGCTGGATGCTATTTCTATGATGCTATGTCTTTGTATGCTAAGTCATCTCTTTTCCGGTTCCAATAACGCACTCATATGAAACACTACCAAAGATGTGGTGTGATGATAGAACCATTTAGTGGAGAGCATTTTATCCCACTACTTGGCGCGAATCTAAATTAGTTAGGTCAATGATTTTGGATTTCAGATGTCTAAAATACAAAAAGAACACTTGCAAGAAACACTATATATAATTTCGTGTTGCAGGCAAAATATTTTATTCTTGCGCAAGTGTATGTAAAATTTGACGATAAATTGGGTTGTCAAAAGATATCGTACCTGTATGTTAGCTTTGTACTTCTGGATCTTGCTTTTGTTTCAGGTGTCCCATAGCCTTATCAATCTGACTGCTGCAAATATCATACTACAAAAGAACCAATTTACAAAATATCATAGGAAGACACGAAATTACAACTTACCACCAAACTTGCCATGCAAAAAAAAAAAATGCATGTAGCGTAAGACATAAAATAAGATTTTAGAAAAGATGTATTGAGACTCCATACGGCCCCATGAAGTTCTTTACGTGCTTGTTTCAATTATTTCCTTCCAATATGGATATAATTCTACATTTCCTCTACAGAGAAGTGCTCACGGACTCTGCTGTTTCATATAATTATTCTGATCCCGACCTGTTGGTGTAGGTAATTTGATTCAACAAGATAAGATGGGTGGAAGTGCAATGAACAATGATCAGGAATTTACTACAAACAATGGAGATCGGACACTACTTGTTGGTCGTACAGGTGATGGAAAAAGTGGAATGCTCGTCTGGTGTTACAACTACTTGTCCGCTTCAGCGGACTCAATTAGACGACAGAAACATACTGAAAGTTATTGATACCCCTGGTATGTATATAGCCAAATTTCTTCGTTAACTATAATTAGTTTGATTAGCATAATTATATGTTTACAGTATCTTGTAGGAGTATATAATATTTCAGAAAGTAATTCTGAAAATAAAAATATTATGACAATATAATATTTTGTCTAAAAATTTCTAAAGAATTCATTTGGGAATTTATGGTGATTTACTTGCTGATATTTCTCTAGAAAAATCCGCAAGAAAACTCCTTTCTTTGGTTAACTTTTACCAGAAGTTTCATGCGATTTTTGGTATTTCTTACCAAAAAATCTGCAAGTAATTTACGTGCAGATCTAAAATCCCCAGCTAATTTACATGCGGATTCAAAATTCCTAAGTAAGTTACTTGGGGATTTCTAAAATCAGCGAGTAATAATTACCTACGAAGGTTTATCCATTGGATTTTCTTTCGAAGGAAAATCCGCAAGTAACTGAATTACCTATGAATTTTCTTTTATAATTCCCAAAAAAATCACTATGTAATACGCTATTTTCTTGTAGTGAATTTGTACAACAACCTTGATCGTCTCTTAAATGTTTAAATGAATTTTTGTTTCAGTTTCACATATAGTAGCCTTTAATTTATCAATAGAAAGATCTCCATGAGTGCAGTGGTAATAAGAAAATTTAGAAAAGATGTATTGAGACTCCATCCACGGTCCCATGAAGATCTTTACGTACTTGTTTCAATTATTTCCTTCCAATATGGTTATAACTCTACATTTCCTCTTCAGAGAAGTGCTCATGGATTCTGCTGTTTCATATAATTGTTCTGATCCTGACCTGTTGGTGTAGGTATTTCGATTCAACAAGATAAGATGCGTGGAAGTGCAATGAACAGTGGTCGGAAAATTACTACAGATGATGGAGACCGGACACTACTTCTTGTTGGGCGTACAGGTGATGGAAAAAGTGCAACGGGCAATAGTATTCTTGGCAGAACTGCATTCAGGTCAATGCATTGCTCTTCTGGTGTTACAACTACTTGTAGCTTCACTGGACTAAATTAAATGATGGAAACATGCTGAAAGTGATCGATACCCCAGGTATATATGTAGCCAAATTTCTTCTTTAACTATAATAGCTTGATTAGCATAGTTATATGTTTACAGTATCTTGTAAGAGAGTAGAAGTATATGATATTCAGTAAGAATTCTTAACCGTGCTTTTGTCTATGTGATTTGTTAAGATTATTCTTGGTTTATTATTAATTGATTAGTGTAATGGCATGTGGTATTCTATGGTACATCAAATTTACAAAAGACTGTTATGTAGTGAAAAGAACCTTAGAGCAGAAAAACAATTCCACCTGTCTGTAAAACAACAATTTGGTACTTGCTGTGAGAAGCAGATCTAAAGGAGGAAATGATCTCCTATGTCCAGTTAGAATTTGAATAGAAAAAAAATAATCATACAAAGATCTACCGTAGTTTATTAACTCATCTCCTGTCGGTTCAGTTGATCCCATTGTGTTCGGTATGGACTATGTACAAAATGTGCAAATGGTTATAATGTATAAAAAATAGTAAGATCAAATTCTCGATTAACATATGCTTGCTGCATCTTGTTTTGTTGTGTGATTTGTTTAAGTTACTGATATGGCTGACGCTGTGGAAACTGTAGGACTGTTTAATATATCCCGTGGGCCTGATTATGTTCTAAATGAACTTGTTAAATGCATCGATTTGGCCAACGATGGTGTCCATGCTATACTTCTAGTTCTGTCCATAAGAACTCGGTTTTCAAGAGAAGAACAAGCTACTTTTCAAAGCCTTCTGGACCTCTTTGGGAGCAAAATTAGTGACTACATGATTGTGGTCTTCACTGGCGGAGATGAGTTTGATGAAAATGATGAGACTTTGGATGACTACTTAGGCCATTGCCCTGAAGCCTTACAGGTTAGACGGAGTTCTTATGCTCGGATGTTTTCATACCCTAGCTAGCTTTTGGAGTAAGCTGACAGTGCTATCTACTGATAAAATTTATTTGCATCGGCTTGTTATGTATACAATTTGTGTGAAGGATCGATATCTAGTAGAACATCTTAATCAGTTACCATATACTCTTTAGGATACTCATGCCTGTGAAGGCTGATCCCTTATATTGGATTATGCAATTACAGGGAACTCTCAGCATGTGTGGAGAAAGACGAGTGCTTTTTGACAATAAGACTAAGGATCCAAAGAAGATGGCTGAGCAATTGAGAAATCTTCTTTTGCATGTGAATTTGGTTGTAGAAAAGAATGGTGGAAAACCATACACAAGCGACTTGTTCAAGGATTTAAAGGTACGTATTTAACTGTTACTAGTTGATTGTATTCCTTGCACATTTTGCTTTTCATCACTATCTTGTCTAGTCGCAAATGTTGGTTGGATATCAACTGAATGTTATTCAAAAGGAATGTTGGTTCAATATCTACTAGTGTTTTTCTAATTATTACTTTTGTGGATTTGATAAAGTCATGAGAAGAAACGGCTAATCAAACAGCTACATTTATATATTTGACAGGTTGATTTTAAACTCCGGCTGGATATTAAGCATCTTGAGGAAGAAGTGGCAAAGGAGCGTGCTGCTCGGCTTGAAGCAGAAGAAAGTATAAAAGTAGCTCAAAAGAAACGGGAAGATATGAGTCGTCTGATGCGAGCTAGCTTTGGGAGACAACGTCAAAGGGCGACTGAGGAACTTCAAGCAACAAATCTGAGATTACCTGGAATGTGTCTTATTTTATGATATAGCTATTGATGCATACGTATTAGAAAGACCTCAGATTAAGTTGAGGATTTATGGTTATGTTTTACTGTTCTTCTTTTCTACCCCCTCTTCTCTAATGTGGTCGAAAACTTTATGCTTTCACAAGATACCTTTCCAAGTTTATGGTACTGTGGTTTTGATTTTGCTATCGGCTTCTGTCTGTTATATCAAGTTATCAGAGTTCTCATGCTGATCTGAAGGCTTTCTAAATATAGCAACAGCAAATCCAACGAAACCCACAAGGGGGGTCTGGTGAAGATAGTAACTTTCAAGTTATGAGGTCGTTTGAACGCGTTTTTCTGTTGATTTTTTGCTTCCAAACATAAAGATTGTTTAGAAATTATGCTTTCAGAGTTCTCGTACTAATGGGAAGCCTTTCTTATAACAATCATGAAAGTTTTCAATGTCTTCGTACACTACTAGAAATCCGGTAAATACCGACCAGAAAAATCGACCAACGTTGCCAATTACCGATCGAAACGCGTCCAAATATGCTTGGTCGCTATTTTGATGGTCGTTTTAATATATCGACCAAGGTTGGTCGTTATGTTAAAAAGACCATCTGAAGAATTTAAAACATTTACCGACCAACTTTGGTCGGAAACATATTTTAATAATTTAATTTTACCAATCAAAGTTGGTCGGTGTGTTTAAATTATATTTTTTTATTAATTATTAAATTTAAAAATATACCGACCAAAGTGGGTCGGTAAATGAAAAAAAAAATATATTTTTTAAAATATTAAAGTTTAACAATACCGACCAAAATTGGTCGGTAATGTTGAATTCTGGGAATCCTTTGTTCATTAACCGACCAACTTTGGTCGGTAATTGTAAATTTTTTATTTTTTTTAATGATTACCGACCAACTTTGGTCGGTAAATTTGCAGAAAAATAATTTTTTTTTATTAGAAACCGACCAACTTTGGTCGGTTTTCTGGGTTTTAATTTTGGCATAAAATGCCTGTTTTGGCAGGTACACCACCTGCCAGCATACTGATACACCTAATAGCAACAACAACAACAACAACAACAACAACAACAACAACACAACAACAATCAATAAATACATTAAAACTAACTAATTAAAGTTCAATTGAACATAAAAATCCAAAACCAAGTTAAAACTTATTACAACTAGTTCAAAACTGGTTGTATTTGTCTAGTTCAAAGTATATAAAAGTCAAGGAGTGTTTTCTACAACATCATCATCACCGTCTGATGAACTTTCATCTACAAGACGGTATAGAGAAGGGTCTTGTGGAGGACGGGAAGAACGATCACGGGGAGGACGGGAGGAACGATCACGGGGAGGACGGGAGGAACGACCATGTGCAGGTCGAGCCTCTGGCGATGACTCATGAGACCGGGGCAACGGAAAAGCTCCAGTAGATAGGAGAGTTCTGATCTGAGCTTGCATGCCAAGGAATTGAGCATCTCTAACCCTTTCTCTTTCCTTGGCCGCTTCTAGCTCGGATGTGAGCTTTGTCACAGTCTCCCGCATAGCAGAGGGGCTCTCCCCATTAAGTTGCTCGCCTTCCGAGGAAGTCCCTATTCCTTGCATTTCACACTTATAGCGATGGAAATTTTTAGTAGGAAGCCCGTATACCTTCCCCCATTTTGGACCGCCAGCAGACTCCATCCATATTCTTTCAGCATCCTCGTCCGAAGGTTGGGTTGGCTCGCCCAATTCACCAGCTCGCTGAGTGCGGATGAATTCCTCCACGTTAGTTTGGTAGCGACCCTATACGAAAATTTAAATTGAATTAGTATTTCAAAATTTGTATAAAAGTAAATTAAAATACTTAAAGAAAAGTGAAAGCTTACATATACAGTCGAGGCCCGGTCCTCGACCATCTTTCTTGATCCGTCTCTTTCTTCTTCTTTACAATATGCGTCTTCTTGAATAGCTCATCATGGTTCATTGGATGCCCCAACTTCTTTTCCTGAAAATAAATTAATTTAGTTAATAAACAGAACAAATATACTTTGAAATTTAAAATAATTTAAGCAGTTACTTACCAATCTTCTTTTTATTGTCCCTAGGCTGATCGCACCTCCAGTGTGCAAGGAGCCTCCCTTCTCAGATGCACGAGCTTTCTTTCCTTTTTCACTCTTCTCTAATAACTTTGCGGTAAGCCATTGCCTTTGCAAATCATCCCATAAATTTTGAAGTAACCAGTCAGGCTTCTTGTTCTTCTTTCTAGCATCGGAGAAAACATTCGACAATCGCTTGCGAGCTTTATGATAAAAATTTGCAGTCATTTCTGCGCTATAGCGGTGTTCCCATACACACTTGCTCTGCATTTCAAAAGTTAACTATTATATGGAAATATCATAAGTATAAATTATTAAACTGCTTAAAAGAACATTTATACCTTAAATTGATTGAAAATTTGCTCCTTCAGCGAGAATGGAAAATCAGTTCAAGTCACATAAGGGCCATCATAAAGCTTTCTGATGGCTTTGGTGATTATCCTCGTAGTCTTATTACTCGGGATGAACCTGCATTTAACAATAAAAACACATTAATATCTTAGTAAAAACGTTAGAAAATAATAAACGCAAAAATAACAAATAACTCTTACCCATCACCCTCAGGGACTATGATGATCCTGCCATATTGCTCATAATGCACTTCCTCGTCATCATCATCATCATCATCGTCCGAAGCGTGTGTATCAGAGGCATGTGTGGACGGTGTATAGGGGGTCAGAGCTACTACTTCGCAGGCGAAGGCCTGAAATAGATGGAGTCGCTGATGAAGATGGCTACGATCCCTGTGACAACGACATATTTGGATGGACCCCAAGTGGCTGTGATACTGATTGCTGTGACCCGAGTGGCTGTGACATGGATGGATGCGATCCATGTGGCGTGATATGTAGGGATGCGATATAGATGGCTGCGATGCAGATGGCTGCGATCCACGTGGTCGTGAGGCAGTTGGACTGTATGTCGGACGTATAGACCTATGGCCCTGTGATGAAAGACCTGGTGTCTGGATGAAGGTATAGAGCTCGTGATGCTGTGGCAGCTCAGTATAGCCGTGGGGTGGAGGATAAGATATAGGCATCTCTAAAGAGGGTGGAAAAGAAGGAGTATTATTATCTACCCTCCTCTTTCCCTTCTTAGCCTTTTCTCGACCCGAGAACCAGTAGGGTCATTGTTACCTTGACCCTTGCCTACCATCTGCATAATATAATACATACTAGATTGAAATATATAAGAAACTAGCTATAAAATGAGTGTGCTTTAAAAAACTAACTTTTTAAAGCTCATCGACGTATTGTTCCTCGTCCGAGAATTCTTCGTCCTCACTTGTTTGAGCTTCATCAGTTAATTCTTCGTCCTCATTTTCTATAATTATTACGTCATTTATATCAACTTCTTCCAATATGCGTTCAGGATGTTCCAAATCATTTTCTACCCGATCGTCCACTATTTGGTGAACACTGGAGATATCGTTTTGATATGCAACATCTAACACATTCTCGACTTCCACCCTACCTACAGGCTTAGTTTTTATTACAACCCACCAATCGGACTTATTCCGCCGCAATAGATAAGGAGCATAATACACTTGCCTAACATTATGTGCAATTATGAAATGATCATAGCGATCATACTCCCTTGTATGATTAACCTCAATTATGTTGTATTGGTTGTGTACTCTTGTACCTCTTGTTGGATTTGGGTCAAACCACTTGCATCTAAAGAGTATCAATTTCTTATATGGCCAACCTGTATATTCTAGTTCTATTATTTCTTTGAGCACACCATAATAATCAATATCTCCAACTTGGTTGCCATCACCACCTTGAACCCACACCCCGCTGTTGTTGCTATTTTTATTTTTAGAGAAATCCTCTGTATGGAACTTATAACCACTCACTACGTACTTAGACATTGTTGTGACCTCTAGCCCAGTTCCCCAAGATATATCTTTCAAAATTGATTTACACCATTATTTGGATTATTTACCTACATAGTGTTAAAAAAATTCATAAGTTAGCATAACTTACAAACATTATTTACCTACATAGTGTTAGAACATTATCAGGATAAACTTACAAATTGTTTGAACCACGTGTCAAATCTCGTATATACAACATCATGACCAAATTGACCCACGAAGTGATGTGACACATCAAATATTTTTAGTAGTTGCATCAAGATGTAATCACAGTAAATTTTATATTTTGATAACTAATAAATCAATACTTACTTGAGAAATGGTACACGCTTCGTTGTACTACTTTAACTACATATATAGCATGTTATAGTATATGTTGGTGTATTCATTATTTGTATTACAAAAGTGTTAACGGATTACATTTATATTATTTTGATAGTTAACAGTTATTTTCCAGAAATTAAAATATACCGACCAAAGTTGGTCGGTAAATGCTTCCCCTGAATTAACCGACCAACTTTGGTCGGTAATTTTAAATAAAATTTCTTTAAATTTTATAAAACATTTTAAATAATAATAATATCACTATTAAAATTTTAAAAATTGGGTCCACATTACCGATCAAAGTTGGTCGGTAAGTGCTTCCCCTGAATTAACCGACCAACTTTGGTCGGTAATTTTAAATAAAATTTCTTTAAATTTTATGAAATATTTTAAATAATAATATAACTATTAAATTTTTAAAAATTGGGTCCACATTACCGACCAAAGTTGGTCGGTAATGTGAAAGTTTCTTTGACTAAGCAAGTTTGGCCAGCTCGGTTAACTTGTTGACCAACTTACCGACCAACTTTGGTCAGTATTTTTTTAAAAATAAATGTAAAATATTTTTCTCCCAGTTTCCGTCCAGCTTTGGTCGCTTTATTTGACCGACCAACGTTGGTCGGAAAATTTTGGTCGATATTTATCGGATTTCTAGCGGTGATATCGACGGATGTTGGTTCACAAAAATTTTCTTCCGTATTTTCTGCCACTAACTGTGTCTTTTCCACAGTTGCTATAAAGGAAAAAAGTCCAAATTTGAAAAGGGACAATGTGAAATGATTTAACATTGTCATCCATTAGGGTCAAATGAGGCCTTGTTGTTAGCTAAAGAGCTCCAA